TATTTGTACTCTTTGTATATATGATTAATTATTATGGTATTATATGAATTGATTAGATTTGAGTATCGTATTATTTATTTTTGCTGTATATATTGATTGTACAATTATTGCTAAGGTTTTAATGTTATTGCGAGGGAGTATTGTTCTTGAGGTTTTAGGATTATTAATGCAGAGTATTATTTTTGGGTTGAGAACAATTATTTTTGGGTGCTAGTATTATTTCCCTAAGAGTTGAGATATTTTTGAATTGAATTGAATTGTTATGAATTGGGAACCTGTGCCAATATTGAGATATTATTTATTATCATGTGAATGGTTATTTGATCGATGTATGAGATCAAATGATTGAGAATTATTGTTTTGTTCTTGGGTTGAGGCTCGGCGTTATATAACTTAGTCCTTGGCTTGTTGGTAATTAAGAGGGTAATAATCATGAGTTAGGAATGAGGTACAATCTTTATTTATATATATATTTTTTATGGTCCCCTACAGTGGGAATTGACTCGTATGTGGTCTGGTTCAAGGTGTTTTTCTGGTTATAGAGAGTATTCAAGTTTTTATACTTGTTGGTTTGTTATTCGAATTACCATGTCCAAGGCTAGGTATTGAACAACGAGCATGACACACTTATGGGATAAATGAGCTAATAATTGAGTAAAAGTTTGTATTATTATTTGAGGTTGAGTTGATAAAGGTTATTTTTAGAGTACAATGTGTAATGTAGTTTCGAACTACATTGTTTAATTGATCTAGTAATGTTAATTATTATATTATACTCTATATTCTGATATGTGGTGATTACTCAGCTTTTGCTGACGTGTGTGTGTTATTTTGTTGTGCTACTTGTGTTTGCGGCCATGTCTTTTTCTTATGGTGGCCCAGCGACGATCTATTTTGGAATTTGTCCTTAATGGTGAGCAGTCAAGTTTGTCTAAACATGTTGATCAAGTGGTCGTACCTAAAGGAGCTCAAGTGTTTCGATAAGTATGTTGTCATGATTTTGTAAAGTTGTATAAATAGCTCACCTAGATTTATTGGGTGAACATTTGGGATTTTTGTAAGCCTTAACACTTGACAAGTTGTTAAGTGTGGCGGTAATACCTTCGATTTAAGTGTATGCTTCCGCAATTTTATTTAAAGGTTGTTTATTTTTCCTTTAATTCTTATTTATTATTGGTTAGTAAATCGGGGGTGTTACAAAATCCTTTTCTAGGCATTTTCAAATTCAAGAGGATTGTAATATGCATCAGGGTTCTTAATAATAGGTATAAATATTATATAATTATAATGATTAAAAAGAGGACTTTCAATTTTTTAAAAAATAATTCCCAAATGTCATTCCATAATTCTAGTAAATAATATGTACAATCTTTTGGATTGGCTAGAAGGTCTTATCATTGCCACTACAATTGGTCTTGTATGGACCCGGTCTACAATAAATTATTGTAGACCCAAAATTTGACACTTTCAAATAATATAATCACATTTTGGGTGATATAATCACTTTTTTAGATGATATAATTATCTTTTTGTGAGTCATATTTTGATATCATATTAAACCATTTAATGAGATTATATAATTATCATTAGGATGATAAAATTTAAAAATCATCTTTTGAATGATGTAATTTACTATTTGATACTTTTTATAATGATAAATTCACTTTTTGAGTGATACATTTACATAATAGTTTCAAGATGATATAATCACTTTTGTAATAATATAATCACATTTTGTATGATATAATCACATTCGTATGGTATACTAGAAGGTTGGGTCTACAATAAGTTATTGTAGACCGGGTCTATTCTAGTCTTAATATTGCCCCCGACACGATAACATGCTCAGTAAACATGGGATTGCCTCATTGTGTGAAAAAACTCGTAGTTGGATTTCATTTCATATACTAGTTGGGAAGACGACGTTATTGACTTATTTCCATGTGCTGTGTCAGAAATCTTAGAATTGCTAATAATGTAAAGGACAACAAAAAGTATAATTTGCATGTCTTGGATATTTTTAACCTTACAGAATCACCCAAGTATAAGTACATAAGCCAATTGGTAAAAACTAGATTTTATTTCTTGCATATCAATGTTCTTCTATATATACACAGCAGTGTAGGCACATTACCCTACAAAATTTCTAAACATAAACATTGTAAATAGAACTTCACTGCCTTTACTCTGTTTCTAAATCTCTCTTGATTTTAACAAAATCACAAAGTACATGGGAAGCCATTCAGTGGGAATCTGCAAGTGTGCTAGGCAAGTCACCAAAAGGGGGCCAATATTTTCCCAACAATTGTCATGTCAAGAGAAGACATCAATTCCAGTTCCTAAAGGCCATTTTGCTGTCTATGTAGGAGAGGAAGAGAAAAAGCGGTTTGTAGTCCCCGTTTCATATCTGAGGAATCCTCTATTTCAAGAACTACTAAAGGAGGCTGAAGAAAAGTTCGGGTACGACCATGGGATGGGAAGGCTGACAGTTCCTTGCACTGAAAATTACTTCACCAATCTTATTTCTCAGTTAAATGACTTATGACTTATGGATCATGGTGAAAAAGTTTTCCTTTGAAGCTTCTGAATGTTACTTTGACTGCTTTTGTTTTCAACGGAAGCTGTATATCATAAAGAATTACCTATTTACACTTTTTGCTTATCAGGTATATAGATTTTGTAGCTGGTGTAATACAATGTAAAAGATTGGTTTCTAGTGTGAAAATTGAGTCCGTTCTTCTCCATAGCAATATAGTTTTGGGAGAGGGAGTAAGTGAGATTGTGACGCGGCCACTACTCCTAACCTATCACAACAGAGAGAAAAGTATCATCATATGCATAGCAAAGGTGCAACAACCAGCCTCATACCAAGTGGCATTATAACAGGCTATTCCACTCTAGATTTCTGAAGGATTAAGTCACTAAAACAGTGAGATAGCAGAAGGAAATTGAAGGTTATTGTATACTGGTCTTCTATTTACACAATCTAATCCTACTTCTGAGAGAAACTAAAAGTAGTTTACTTACATTTAATTACCCAAGAAAGCCCATGCAAATTTTCAAATCACATCTTCAAGCGAAGCAAAAGGTGTATGAAAATGGTATGTACTGGTTTTTATTCGAGAAACTGAAATGAAAAGATATGTGGTTCCACTAACTTATCTGAGCCCTTTTATGCTTGGACAAGCCGAAAATGAGCTTGCTTAGTCATTCCATGGCAGTATAGCAATTCCTTGCCCTGAGGAATCTTTTATCAGCATCATAAGACCATTGGAATCCCGTTGAAACATGAAGAGAAAATCAAAGGGGAGCCTCATGTCCTATAATTTTGGCAAGATAAACAACTGTTAGTATGGTACTATGTAAGCGACTTAGCAGAATACACATATACAGACATATGTATAGACTTCAAGGCTCTTCTAGATCCTCTTAGTATCAAATGAACAACAGTCAATGTTAAATGAATATTTCAACTCAAAATGTAGACAAATATAAAATTTCAATATGGGAAAAATCTAGTTATAATATGTGTAATACACTGCTTTGAGAATTCACTGCTTCATTTGGTTAAGAAGTTTTTCCTTTTTCATTTTCATTTTATTTAGGAGAAACTGTAGTAGTCAGAAATATTATCCAATCCAAAAGGTTTGACAAACTTTGATGATACAACTACAAAGGAAAAACTATTTGTTGCAGTGCCTATCATATTTTAGTATGTACCCACATGTACCTCGTCTCTGGGATGACTATATTTAGAGATATTGACAAACTTTTTGGGATAAATACAGTACAGTTCAGCAATTGCTTGAATTAATTAGAACCTGATTTACAAAGATGTTCAAAATTCAGCCATGGCTCAAACTATTTCACTAAATAAACAGAACAAAAACTTAAAAAAAAAAAAAAACAGATAAATTCATTTCTTATTGTGCAATAGGAAGCCAAGTCTAAAGCACCAATCGTTTGGAATTAATTACTCAAGGAATATTTCAATGATTTCAATTGAAAGTTTGTAGTGATTTTGATCAGCCTTCCTAAATAATGCTAGCTCAATAAATCCTATAATAAGTTTTATAGGCATTTTAAATATCTTTTATAAGTTGTCTTTATAAACTTCCCAGAAGTTCATAAATATATGTCATTTGAAAGTTAAGATATACTCGTCAAAAAAATGTAAGCCCTATCTATCTAGTATCTACTAGGACAATTACTATCCCAAACACGAACCTGGCTAGAAATGACCTGATTACCAAATCTAGTAGTATTCATGCTTTGCCCTTCTTTTCACTTCAAAAGGCATTTTAAATATCATTTGATGCAAAGGGTTTAATAGCACATTACCCATCTCTTTCCCTAAATATAAATGCTCCTTTAATCTTAATCTATGCAATATAACCATAAACTTCAAACATTTTGAACAAAGGGGGTAAAACCGTAAAATCATATCACATAACGATAGTTCTTAATTCTTAGCATCTTTTTTGAATTTAAGTAATGCTACTAATCTAGCTTATTCATCAGTCATAAATGTTTTCAGGGCACATTCAAAATCAAGGTCAAAAAAGAAAGTACTTTAGGAATTTAGAGAAATTATATCCCTAAGTCACTTTTATAAGCATACAGTTGGAAGGGTATGATACCAGCACATGCAATATATACAAAATTAGAAATTCACCATTCACACGAAAGTCAAATTCCATTAATAAACTTAATTATTAAGCTAAACAATCATTGAGCATGTTGGTGACATTAATAGACAGAGAATTCCAAAAGGATCATCCGCGTTGATTAGATACAACTCTTGAGCCTTTGCAACTGGAAACAAAAGTCCATCTCATATTATAGTAATAACGGCTATAATGCTAGTGTGATTTTGGCATATAAACTAGCCAGGGGATAAGCTATAATAATATACTATAATAGTGATAAAGTCTGCTCAGAAATTCCATGAGCATTTACATCTATTACATGACCAACATCAGCAAAAGCATTCTCGTCAAACTTGAAAATCGGTTTAATGATCTGTTATATTGGTCCAGGCTGGCTTTTTATTTTACAAGAGTAGCCAGATTCCTAGTAGGCTAATAATGCAAGGACATGAGGTACATCATTCACGCCTACTAATATTAATCATTAATGTTGATTTGATATGGAGAAACTATACCAAACAGCTTAAGGTTTTCACATTGCCACCACTTCCCACTCAAAAGTTTTTTATAGGACCATCTCAGATGGAAGATGACCTACCCCCAAAAAGTTTCTAAAGGAATTATATTATCAAAATTTTGTATTGAATAACAAATTAAGTGATATCACTAACAAGAACAATAAAGTCACCAAGTTCGATAATGAAGTATAAAACTCAATCTGACAGTTTGCCAAAAATTGGAAGAATTATAATCACTCCTTAGTTAATTTTTTTCAAAAAAACATCTCATCGAATACACAGTTTCTTTTGGAACTTATATCCTTCAAGAAATTCCATTCATCCTTTTACAAGTTAATATGTATATAGCAAAATGATTAAAAAAAGTTAATGAACATTAAAGCTGCCTAAGAAATACAAACCTAAAGCTGGACTAGTTAGTTCACGAAATGAACTGAAACATGCCTTCCTTTCGACTTACATGGTTAGACCTCAATTAACCTCGACCATTATTTGTTATCATACTATAGTAAAAACTAACAAATTGAAACAGTTATCATATAAAAGTAGTTTAAGCTAATCTAGGGACTATTGTTTCAAAGCATAACTAAAGACATACTTTAACAAGTGTGGTTAATTCTTGTGAAACATGAACTGCATATACTAACTAATAAGGCAATCATTCAAGGGATAAAGGCATACACACAAGCAATAAAAAAAAAAAAAATACTGCCAAATGAAGTCATGTGACTATTAAAAACGAGGTGGACCCATATCCATGAGTTTCCAAGCTGCCAAACTTAAGCTTGAGTTCCTATTCTCTCCTCTCTGTTCCCTCTATAAAATGCCTTTGAAACCCAAGAGCCTTATTTAAAGTACAAAGCAGCCAGCATTCAAAATATATTTTCCCTTACTCCTTACCTAAAAACAATGGCTTTCCAGTTTCCATCCATGATCTCAAACAGCAAACAAAAAATCAAATTGCACAAAAGACGAGGAGGAGTTCCAAAAGGTCACCTTGCAGTTTATGTGGGAGCTAACAAGGAAGGAAAAAAGCGATATGTGGTGCCTTTGTCGTACTTGAGATACCCTGCATTTCAAGACCTACTTGGCCTTGCTGAGGAAGAGTTTGGATTTCAACATCCCACTGGTGGCCTTACCATTCCCTGTGATGAAGAAACATTCATACATGTCATGAACTGTCAATTAAATTTTTTCCCTTCAATTTCTTGTGAAATACTATAGAATTTCAAAAATTAGAACTCTGAAGCTTACATATAATTCTTATTCATTTTTGCTCATTTCTGCTTGCCCTAGGATCAATTCAATATCACCACAATCAGATGGTATCTGTATATATATATACACAAGCTTATTTTCACAAATACATTGATAATCAGAAGTAACATATTTTTGTCAGAATAAAAAATAACATATTATTAATTGTTCCATGCTCTAATGGTGACTCTGTTTTCCCTTTTGATAGATGGTAGGCTACAGATATTCCTGAAAACTAATCTCCTGGAAAGAGATCTATCTTTTCTTGCTAAGTTATGACACTGTTTTACTTCATGCATACCAAAGAACATGCAAAAAATTTGATATAAAATATAAAAAGCAGATTTATCATTAAATTGGTCACTAAAGATAGTATAGATCCAAATTAACTAAATTTATTAGCCCAATAAAAAATCTATGGAGTATAACATAATAACATGTCTTAATTACACCAAGATCAAAAAATTCATATTTGACTATCATTAATGAACTACTATAGCTAACAATTTTGAAAAGTTACAATTTTGAACTTTTGGTGTCGATAACAAGGTGCAGTATATATCAAGACAATGGCTAATTGGTTATGCCACATTATACTACTTCCAAAACCCGTTACAAATATTACTTCGTCAACACAATATATCAGTTTGTATGATGAAGCGAGACTAATACCATCATTAATTACCAAATTTTCACTTGATACCAAAACCACTACTTTAAACCTGCTCCCTCACCTAATGTACAACACGTAGTTTAGATAATTTGCTCATACTCATTATATTACCTCAAACTCCCATGTCAAATCCTTAACATGCCAACAAGCCTATGGACACTTAACCCTTCAATTTGGCTTATAATCATGGCAGATTTACATAAAAAGACAAGTATAGAACATGGAAATGTATCTGAGTCTGTGTTCTAGAGACTTCCCTAGGCTTACATTTCTGTCAATCCAATGGGGGAAAAAAGTAAATCTAAAAAGAAGCTCTCCTGTTACTCTGGGCTCACAAGCCCCTTTCGTGCTCGGCCAGCATCCTCTTCATTAAGAGATGAGTGCACTCCACATGGGATCCAATGTCAAAAGACTCGGACAGTAAAACCAAGTCCAAATAACTAGGTAGCTAGACTGTCAAAAGAAAAGGTTAAGCTTGTAAGTTGGGTAATTTTGGGAACAGTCGAATTCAACTATCTTCTTTATTATTTCATTTTTGGTGTGACAATTTGGTTCACAAATAGAAAATTGCATTTTAAACCCAAAATTTTTGACTTATTTTAATCGGGGTTTCAGTTAGGATGACTATTTGCTTATGCCTCACATAATCAGTGGACAATGATCAAACTCAAATACATTTTGGATAACGATACATACATCATCACCTGGCTAAGAACATTTGCATTTCTAAATAAGCAATAATTTTTAGGTAATGCCAAAATTAGAAACTTTCTCATTTATCATTCCATATAAGAACAGAGAACAGTGTGGACTTTGGAGAAATCAATAATTAAATCATGATGGATCTAATTGTACAATTTTGAAGAACTATAAAACATAATTTGAGAAATCCTTCCACTATATTTAACAAAAAAAAAAATCAACATGAATGGAACAGAGTAGAATGAGGGGGATGACCCTCCAAATTTTATAACTTTGAACCATTAAAATTGAAAACCATAGATATGCCAATACTACGAGTAATATTTTAAGTACAAACTGATGCAACTACGCAAGAAAGACCATAGACCTTGAAAGCAATAATAGAAGTTAACTATAAGAAAAACGCCTTCTAATCATATAAATCCATAATGATTGGACCCAAGAGCATCTTCTTTTACAATATTAGCCAAGAAAGAGAGGATCCCGCGTTGATTAGGTATATGATCAATATTCTGATAGAAATAGAGTCGATCTCATGATTTAATTATTTGGGCAAATGGCAATGAAACTGGCAAAAGTGATGCCAATATTCTAATAGTTTTAATAAACTCCTTGACTAAGCTATATTCTTCTACTCCATTACAACTAACATCAAGAGTACAGCTAGCATCAGCAACCAAATGATTTTTTTTATATTTTTATATTTTATGAAGCACAACATTGTGAAGAAGGCAAGATAAAGTAGCGTTTAAGTCTATAAAAATTTACAATAAGGGGTCAATCTCATGATTACAGGATCTTGATATGAAAATGGCAGAACAGATACTAAAAAAATAGCTCACATCATAAAGAGATGAGAAACTCAATAATTACAGATTATATAAAATGATATTATCACTCTTTACAATGATACAGGAAATGGGTGAGCCACTATTGAGGCCAGGTTGGATCGTGCATGTGAGATGACATAATGCAAGGATATGAAGTCGGTGTTTCTATTGACTAAGAGCAAATATCAACTCAAAGACTTGCAGGGAATAATACATGTAATAATCAAATCCAACTGAAAGTACGGAGCTAGGGAATGCACAATTTCAAATGGTTCTCCGCGTACTGAATCTGAGGTTAAAAAGTATAGCTAATCAATTAATTTCCAAGTTTATAGGAATGAAAAAGCATTTCAATGTTCAGGTGTCTTCTTTGGGAAACCTATGGATCAGTTGGCAAATTACTGAATTTAGGTTCTATTTGGGCTCCAGCACATGAAACTTTTCCTGTATGTGACTTTTTGATGCAGTGCATAGTTGTTCTTTTTTTTCTTCTTTCTGATAGGGAGTGGTGTTTTAATAGACCCCTCAACTTGAAATTCTTAAATTCTTAGTTTGATGAAATTACTTTGCTTATCAATAAGTAAAAAAAAAAAAAAAAAATACTCCCTACATCCCATTTTATTCTCACACTTTTAATGTATGTCTGTCACAATCAACTAACACACTCCTTTTATGCCATAGACTCACTAATATTTTACTACCCTCTCTACCCACTACCAAAACATAAGGTCTTACTCTCCTCATTCAATTATAGATTCCTTCACTATTCCCATCACTTCTACTTTTCTTTTAAAATATACTCCCCTAAGGCACATCTTTAAATTTCTAAAAATGTAATAGATTGAAAATAAAAAATAAAAATTAAGCCAAATCTAGGAAGAATAAAGGATCCAACCTTAAATGTTTATGATGCTTATAGTAGTAAGTTTTTATATTCAAAAATCTAAACATTCACCAATAAAAGTCAAAGTGTAAAGAAATAAAAAGGAATGTAGAGAGTAATAGATAAACCAATAACTTCTCACCTAAAACTTTAAGCAAACTTTCACGTGTAAAATTGAGACAGGGAATAAGTTGTTTTAAGAGCAAAAAGTTCTAAAAATATGCAAGTTCTCTAACTATTTAATTCCCTCTTGGAGCCATTGCTTTCAGGGTTGACCAACCATGTGAGGTCATAAACATACTTAAGCAACCATTTATTAAGATTTTATTGGCACCAACCTTTCAATGATTTTTAAAATTCCATCTCCCCCTAACTATATATACCAATGAGAGGGTTAAACATTTCAAAACAATTTTTTGCTTCAGAGTGCTAGAGGAAAATCTTTTACAAAATCCTAAAATCATGGTTTTCAGAATCCCAGCCATGATCTCAAACACCAAACAGGTACTGAAATTACAAAATAAAAACCAAAAAAGAGTACCAAAGGGTCACCTCGCAGTTTATGTGGGAGACTGCAGCATGGAAATGAAGCGACATGTGGTGCCAATCTCATGCTTAAGCCATCCTGCATTTCAAGGTCTGCTTAACCTCGCCGAGGAAGAGTTTGGATTTCATCCTTTCACAGGAGGACTCACCATCCCCTGCAAAGAAGAAACCTTCTTTCATGTTATCAGATATCAAATGGAATCCTCATGAAAGTCAGTAGTGATTATTGAGCAAATTCTTCCCCAAAATTTTGATAGCAATAATATTAGCTTATTCTTAAAATTGTATCACTATATCTGTTCTATCTCATAAAAATCAGATCGCCATTTTGTAAATACATAATATAGTTCTTTATTTCTCACTATATCTTTGAGGAAACTACACTTATAATTAAAGCTAAAATCAAATAACTTTAAAATTCTCTGTAACCATTTGATTGCATTTCTTTTGAGATTCGGTACAAATAGCAGGACTAATTATACAAAACTGCGAAATGCCAAATTAATTTTGTTGTAAATATCAGTTCAAGTATTACAGAGTACACATAAACAAGAATCATAGTGGATGTGAAAAGTAATCTACATAACCAGTAGCTCTTCACTAATATTCTTCTCCCTAACACAAGAGAGCTTAGCTATTTATGATGGTTGATTTTCTCAGTTACCATATTTTCAGACTCAGAGAATAACTTCACATCACAGCAATAGCTTACAAATGTTTACAGAATAGAAGGCAATAAGGTTGGTCATTTTATCAGTACTCGTATGGGTATATATATATATATATATATATATATATATATATATATATAGCCATTTAAAATTTATAAACTTTCAAACCACTTTAGTTTGAAAATCCATTACAGAAAGTAAAAGAAAAACATCAAGCATTTATACTCGACTTGTATCCTTTGAGTTAGCATAGTCAAGAATCTAGTGTATCAGACATAATGTAAAAGTAAAACTATAGCACATAATCTAATAAGATGAACAGTGAAAAATTCAGATAACACTAGGCATGGCAAATTTAAGTTTGGCAATCAACAGCTTAAGATTCCACTTATCATAGAAAACTGTCAATTTGTATCCTTACAAACCCATAGAAAGAAAACAAATTTAGACAAAAATGGGTCACCAATCACCATTGTCAAATTGAACAAAATTTAAGCAAGGGATTGAATATCTAAACACTTCATAGCGCCTATTGCACACTATTTTCCTGTGAAGGAAACCGTCGGTATTAACCAGTTTTGGCCAAGAATTAAAGATATTATAGGATTCCATTGCACACTACAATCCCGTGCAGGTTATTATCAGCATCAGCCAATTCCTGATAAGGAGTAAGATTTCAAAGAAAT